AAACAGAGAGGTAGCCAACCCCTGATTGGCGGGGGGGTATGAAGGTCCTATCGGCGCTACTCGTCTTCCAGGATGGGGACCGCGTGATCCACACTGTGCCTGGTTGAAGACACTATAAGATATGGATGCAAACCGGTGTCAGGAGCGACCTTGTTGTCAGTTTCTATCCAGATCCCCTGAGTGAATGTCTGGAGGTATAGGCATCTCGGGATGACTGTGGTAAGCTAGCACTAAGTCCCCTCCCCGGCCACCTTCACTCTTCTTTTTTGCAATAAGACTTTGAAATAAATCATGGTTGTACGGCAGTGAAGTATCGGTGTTGAACGCTGATGTCATGCTGTCAATGAAGATGATGATGATGGCTACTCATTCTGTAGACCATTAGCTTAGTTTGATATTGATTTACCATTCTTCTAGACAAAATGTGATCAGTTTAACTAACAAGCAAGCTCATGTGATGTAGCTCAGTTTTGTAGTTTAGAATGTCCTTTTATCGAATTCTTTTCATGCAGTCACACCCCAGTTTTTCATGCGGTAGAAAATATGACTGATGATCCTGTCCTGTTTGACGGACTGAATAGCACTCAGGCCCGTACATCAATAAATGTGTGAATATCACTCTTATGGTAAATGAACACAAAACAACGTTCTTAGTAGTATGCTAGATACATTTAATGACAGAATGTTAGAAGACAGAATTTGATCCACGAAAATGAACTGTCCAGGACAAACACCGTAGATGACAGGTTTGTTTCAGCTAGTATTATACTGACCTACAAACAACAACACCATTTTATGTATATAAAAAAACAATCAGACTCCAAGTTGACAGATTTCCAAATCACGCTGTTGATTTCGAGGCTGTCTGAATGCCATTGTCTGGGAGACAAATTACAGATACCGTGTAATTGTTCAACCCGTAATTGCAATGCTCGGTGACATTTCATAAGAGTATTTTAAACTGTTCCACCCAGACCAAGGTACCATTCTGAGGAGGGAACAGCGAAGTTTAGCACAGCTATGTGGTCCGCTTTGGGCAATGTCTACCCACCCAACGCACAACCACCAACCCACAGCTACGCACTACTACGCTCCACAATAACGCACTAATGATGTCACCTCGATTGGTGATGAAACGTTTGCAATCAAATTGCCCAGCTCAGCGAACAAGCCAACGACCACCATCTACGCTACCTTGGCTACCGACATTTCCCTCTATAGAAAAGGCTATGTCTTCATGCAAAGCTGGTAGGGACGACGCCGTGGGACGCGAAAACAAGTAGATTATATATGGAAGTACTTTTGTTGCGAATAATAAACTCAGGAATTACGAATGCACACAAGCAATAACACCGTAGGTGCCCCCCTGCCTCCAGCATTTTTTCGGATAGTTGGTAAATTCCTCGGTGTAACACTACTTTATTGAGCAGGCGGTTTAATTTCAGTTCATTGATGTCGTACATTCAAAGGATGAAATATACCGAAATCGCCGCTCTGTTATATTCACGTGAGCAGAGGGTATACGTGTACGAGTTTAATGGTTCGTTTACCGTAGAGACCACACGAGATTGCATTTCTGGAAGCTCTGCTTGAGACCATTCCACGAAAAACGCGAGGTCACTCACTCACTCACTCACTCACGGAGTTTGACGGGAAAAAGCTGGACCGCAGCAAATGAGCGCTTCCGTTCGGTTGTAAAGTTGTATTCAAGATCAGGTAAATGTAACGTAAACTAGGTACTTGGATTGCGTTAGCTACCAAATTCCAGAGGAGGAGAGCCGGTTACCTCACCAGCGGCTTTCTGTATGTAAGCTCGATTTGGTCGCCACGGATGCGCTGAGTGCTGGTCACCGGGACTTTGAAAAGAAGTCGGCAACATATTTGCGAAGAAAACTCCGAAAAACACGGTGCGAAAGGTTCCGGGAATCAATTAACTTAGCATTCTCTCCCCCTCCAAATGATAGCTTGTTTTTTGCAAGGTCGAGGTTTCTTCCGTCGGTAAATTTACCTGTGCCTGGCGTCTCTTGTCAGATTTCTTCAGGTTTTTTCAAGGATAATCGAGGAAATTCCAATCGACCGACTGGAGAAGTTGACAGTTTTCAAGTGCCGCCGCTTCTGGACGTTGTTATTACGTAAACAGCCCTTAGTAACCAAGAGTCACGTAGAATGTGTGCGTCGTATTTCCAAGTGAATGGGGGTTATATCATTGCTGTTTTGCTGAACGAAAAAAAACATCAGACTGGGCTACGTGCCATCTGTGTTGTGTTTAATTGTATTGAGGCTGGGCTTGAAAAGGATGTTCTGCCTGCCAGAACAAAAAAAGGAAAACGTGAGTCAGGGTGGATATGCACGTATTACTATGAATATATACCATAAAATGTGTCGCAAAAGAGCGTTTTCTGTTTATAACAGTTACAGGATTAATCGATAAGAAATCATCCTGCGGTCGCACCCTATCGTTGCCTAGCTGCCATGCCACCCGGAGGAAGCACGAGGGCTGGAATACTGCCAGGTTGCCCAAGACTAAACAGGGAAGTCGAACTGTTTCGAACCACGGTCTTTGAGGTCGGCAAATTCGCCCTCTAAGTACTAAGCCATCTCGCTCTACAACCCCATAGAATTTCGCTGCTCCAAGAGGGTAGCCACTGAAAAATTATCAAACCTTTCCGATGCAACTGGACCTCTTCACAACCGATGACAATTTAGGCAATGTCAGTCGATCAGGTCTTCATGAAAGAAGGCCGATTGTAAACAGAAGCAATCCGTACCGGAATAGCTCGTGGCCACGGCAGATCATCTCAGCCTACAACGGAGAAAGAAACTACAAATTACGCTCTGTCGCAGTGTTTTGCTGTCCACTTTCTTAGATTTTCACAATGAGGGGAATTTCGACCCAAGTGCTCCGGCAGTGTCACACGTTTGGGTTGTGTGTCAACCCACAGCACACTTGCTCGAAAATCCACCCCTACGGGATTGCATCTGATGGCAGACGTTTGGAGCATGGAGACAACAAAATTTATTCCAAACCCCACCAACCAAAAGGGCTCTTATTCAAGCATCTTTCGACATGAGAACGATAGTCTCAGTTGATTAGTTCAGCTGAGTTTTTTCCATAACCCCAAGATTGGTGGAAAATAATAAACCGCGCAGTTCTCTTTCTCGCACGCACACTTTCTGATAGTGTAGCAACACAGTTCGCTTTGAAATTTCTCAACGACAGTCGGTCACTCAGGTCAGACGTTATTGCATTCACTTGTGACTCTAGAGGAAATTTTCTTTTCTTTGTCAAGCATTTTTGACAAACACTTACATGGCCCGAGTACGCGAAACCGCCCCCAGACTTCAGAAGTTTGTCCTCTACCTTTTTTGTTAATCAATCAATCAATCAATCAATCAATCAATCAATCAATCAATCAATCAATCAATCAATCAATCAATCAATCAATCAATCAATCAATCAATCAATCAATCAATCAATCAATCAATCATCCAATCATTCATTCAATTAATCAATCAATCCACCAGTTGAATCACCTGTTAAAAGTAGTTTGATGTATACATGAGGGTAGTCCAACAACCTTTCACGATGCGCTCTCGTATCTCCTGCAGTCGATTGGTTTGTGTTCAAACATGTGCTCTGCAAATTGTCTCCTGATGTTCAAAATGCGTGTCTCTTGCTACAGAAGCAGACCTGTCGCGCACAGTTGGTCTGACTTGGGAGTTTGTCGTCTAGTCTTTGCCTGATGACAGAGTAGCTGGTTGTGGCAACGTGCAGGAGGGCGATAAAGGGTGACAGTTCCTTGAAAGCTTTTCTTGTAATATCATTCTTTGGTATTTATGAAATGCATGGTTGTAAAGTGACTTGTTTTCTGGTGGATATCTATTAGTACAATCTGAATACTGGCTTCTCTGTTGTGTTGGACACATTCCAGTTGTTTCTTGCTCGGCTCATTAGCAGAACTCCAGAAATTTGACCAGAAGATAACCGTCGAGTAGATTTCCGAAACGTTTCGTGGTCTTCATGGAGGACCTGTTGATCATCAGCCAAAAGAAATTTGGATTTCACGGCAGCACTTTTGCAGCGTAATTAGTCCTGAATATGATTCCTTGCGTGTGACATTCAGGAGGAGCACAACTCATTTCGGGTAACAACTGGATGATGAGATCAGCTATTAGCTTGACGGGCTGATTAACCCTACTACCGCTCTTCCAACGCCGTACGAAATGCTCATCTATCCACCAAGGTCAGTTCGGAAGCAACGTCTGGCCGTAGATGAGGTGTTACCATCGCACTCACGCAACTTGAGTGCTCCCAGAAAGCGAACGTACGTGCATTGATCTATTCATGGACTACTTATTTGACCGCTGGTCACCAACTCCAATCGATCGTGACGTAGTTTCCACAAATTTACTCATAGCTTTACGTATCTTTTCGCTTATTATTTAAACTCTTTTGATCTGTATTGAGATATTGATTTCTATAGACCCAGTCTCCTATTCGCTACTTGTTTCAATCTGATTAGGACTCACGTTGATGCAGAAAAATCAGTCACGTGTCCTCTTGACGAGCTATTTCCATTGATTACCGCAGCTACAGCAGCGAAGCATCGGTGTTTGAACAGTGATATCGTGCTGTCGATTATGCTGATGATGAACTAGGCAAGAGTAACAATAGTACTGGTTTTCCCAATCAAAATAATCGACTTCTAGTTTCAGCCCCAGATCTGCAGTGAACATTTCCACGCACCGAATCCCACTGACCCGTTTTTCAACTCAAAATTGGAATAAAGACTTGACTACTTTCAAGTAGTGCACCGCTGCGTGGCCCGATGCAAGAATCCATTAGGATGCTTATTCACTTGATAACTAACCGACTACCATGAGAAACCTTCGCCGTTAAAGCAGACCCTATAATGTGGGAAGGTCGATGGTTAGTCTGTTGAGAGTGTGGTACGGGACCCCAGCACAGAGTGAAACACCGAAGATATCAATTCCAGACTACTCACCTATTACAGTTTGGCAACCAGTACTGTCCCTGATTCGAAAAAAATTATTCTTGCATCTCGGGAAGAGATTAATCGTGTTCCTATTAAGAAAACGAAGTTATAAATTTTTACC